TAAAACAATAAACAACTTTTTAGAACAATATAAAACTGATTTAAAACATTGTGTTTTAAAATACTTGCCATCCTTAGATGTTAGTCATGACGATAATCACGATCTAATTGATAACGTGAGTCAGAGCTAATAAAATTTAGAAAAAGTTAGAACAAAAATGCTTACATGCAAAAGAAAAAATAACGCTAACGTTGAAGCGTTACATTTTTATTAGTTTCTAATAGAAAAAGTATTAGGAATTTGTACTGTATAAGATTACATATCGACATAACAAATATTATGAAGATCATAAAACGATAAATTATTCGTACTAAACTTCAACTGACAAACTCATTTGACCAGACTAGCTTGACCGAAAGCCCTCTAACCATTGATCATCAAATTTTTATTCGACCAACGATCTGTCTACCCTCAGTAAACCTAAATATCATCTCGTATTAGAAAAAATTTTTTTTAGAAAAAGCAAGGAATACAATTATGAAAGGATAAAGATAATTAACCATATAAACCCATAACAGGAATAATGGCTTAAGAAGCAATTGAATATAGATAAAATATAACTGCAACATATAACTACAAACATCAAATATAAAAACATATATTGTGAAGCATATTTGGTAAAGTCAAATTTAATCTTAAAAAAATATGTAACATAAAGATTTATAAATTTAGTGCTTTTAAGCATAATCAATTCTAATTTTCACCAATCCATTTAGTTAGAACATTTTCAAGTTCTTCAGTTTTCAAAGGCTTTGCAAGATAATCATTTATGTCTGATTCTATACAGTTATCTCGTATCTCTTCAACGGGTGAAGCTGTTAGAACAATGATTGGAATATTTGAAATTGGTGGCTTCGTTGCTCTAATGGCTTGTGAAACATCAAAACCTGACATCACTGGCTAAATTTAATAATTAATAAATTGTGAATATTTCACCATGATAAATATAAACAAACAAATTCAGAAAATAAACTTACTAAATTATATTCTGTTAAAATTAATGAAATTTTTTGAGGCTTCATTGGATTTATGTCTGAATAGAATGAACTCGAGGTGTATGTATCACTTAATAATTTAGATTTTGAATCAATCAATTTGATTGCTTCTAGACCATTGGTTGCAGAAATTGTTGAATAACCAAGTTTTGAAACTTGTCGCAATGTGTTCTAAAAAATAAAAGCGGATTAGATAATTAATAAAAGAATGTGAATCTAAAATTTTAAATTTATAAATTACCTCCAGACTAATAGGATTATCATCCTATAAATAACGACAAATGTTAATCAGCACCGATTAAAAAGAAAATTCGACATATTAAGAAGTTCTAATAAAAATAAAAAGAAACCAACAAACCACACATAAAATGCACTTGCTTATCTTAGAATCATTTTCTGTTAAGTTTTCATATATATCCTGATCTGCATATTCATAATCTGCTACTCTCTTCTGAAAATTTTCCTTAACATGCAGACTCTTATTATTTTTATCGATGGTAGAATAGTTGCCTTCCATATGCATCAATAGATTAATTAACTTTTTCCATGTGATTGGAGTATGAAGAACAGTAGCAGTTCCACCAACTTTTCCAATTACTTTTTCTGCCAATTCATTTTCTTCATTATTTGGAAATACAATAAAGATTATTCCTAAATTATTACTATTTGCTTCTAATCTTCTTAATTCTAATGTTGCTTTCATGACCTCTTCTTCATTATTTTTATAAAGTCCAATAACTACTAAATCATAAGCCGATTGATTATTCAATTCTATATAACTTTTTGCTGCATTAATACCTTTGTCAAGAGTATCGAATGCATCAACTTTTTCAATTACTTTAAGATAGTTCAGCAATGCATTTCTTGCATCTTCAAGTGGATGAACGATTAATGTTCGTTTTTGTTTTATAACATTGGGTAATGAATAACTTATTTGATCAAAATGAGTAGTATTTAATAATGAAGGAGCTATTGATAGTAATTCAACATTCCATGTAAACCAAAATTTACTTCCTTTTTTTAATTGACTTTCTACATGAATTTTTTCTCCATTAATTTCTACTAGATTTTTACAAATTGAGAGACCAAGTCCTGTACCATCTTGTGTCTTAGTTATTGACATATCACCTTGTGAATAACTTTGCCATGCATGTTTTATATATCCTGGATCCATACTATTATTATTAAATAAATAATTAGTCTATATGCTTAAATATAATATTATAGGAAGGCCCTATTTTCACCATTGTTTTACAAATTTTCTATTTTTAGTATTTAATATAGAATATAAATTTAAGTTGTAAAGGAGATTTTTCTGGTTCTAATAATGGTTAGATCATCAAAATCGGCCCGGTGGATCCCAAGATATTTGGAATTAAAGACGCTAATAGAATTTTGCAAATTGCTGAGATTACAGTCTATATTGTTTTGTGTAACCAGATCTTGTGTTCACTTAATCCCGGGTCTACCAGGCCGATTTTCTAATCGCCACTACAGTTTTACTTGGAAGCTAAACTCAAGAGAAGTTACTTCTTTACTTTTTAATAAATTAAATTTTTTATATTACAGGTGGTCCTTGTTAATATCAACCTATTTGAATTGGTTTTAAATCATGTGATAGTGATATTAGCAAGAAATCATATTAAAGTTGATATATACGATGAAATTTTGTATATAAAAATTTATAAAAATATGTCTTGTGGCTTAGGTTAATATTATGAGGTTGATATTAACGGATCACCTGTACTTATTATATTATTGGTCAAAATATATAATATTATGAAGTGTACTAAATCTCACCAGCACCGTTCTATTACAAAACTGGGGTTTAAAGTTATTATTAAGTCTGGTTATAGTTAAGGGGTTAATTTATATGTAAAATTTT